GCCGGTTATTGTGGTTAGCACTCAGACTAGTAATTCGTATGCGTATCTGATTCCGCGCAGTAATAGTCCAACCCAAAACTAGGACTCGAAACGAAATAAGAACATAGAACATAGCGATGGAATGGAACTGTAATAAGCGGAAATTCGGGATATACAAGGATACCGTGTTCAATAAAACAAGAGTTCATAGTTCATGAGCAATCACCACATGAAAGTTGGCCATGGGGCCGAACCCGAACTGAGGTCTGACGATACAACTCTTTGAGGATTGACACGCATTTCTCAGGCATTCCATTACTCAACAAACGGTTCCATAGTGCGGTTCTATTGACAGATTCGAAGGTTGTGCGGATGTCTAAGAATGCAATGATCTTTTGTCTTTGACAGACATGACGGTGCTCTAGCATCTGTCGGAGGGTGAAGGTTTTTATCGTTGCATCCACGACCGACGCGAAACCCAGCCTGCTCCTCACGCATAGTGTACAATTGGCGGAGAATGATGGACACCAACAGCTTTGACTCTATTGGGATGGCTTATACCTTTATGATTTGCGCAGTCATTGCGCGGGCCCTTTTTGAAGATGGGGACAACAATCGATTTCCCCCCACGAGGAATCCATGGCTAAGTCGTGACCAAAAGTCACTCGAATGTTCGCAGAGCACAGCAAACAAAATGGTCAAAGGGTTACAATCTGAAACCGACGGTGAACGACTGCATATTCTCGGACTCTATTCCTGTGAATACCGTCAAATACGGGGAGACCTGCTCTTCTACTACTCCTCTACTCTACCAAAACTATCCAGAAATGGTCACTGTTGCATACGTGCCTGCCGCTTAAGTGCGTGCGTTAAGCAAACTTATGCATCGCTAATTTGCTCTTTCCACAGACGTTATCGATCAATACCTGCTCAGATCGATCAACCTCACGCACTTGCCTATGTCAGTACTGTTGGCCGACACGGGCCCGATTCTGATTGGCCGTTAGTTCTATTGTTGCCTTGTTGAACATGCGCTTGACACGAGTGATTGTAAACGAGCCATAATAAATCTATCCTACCCTGTATATTGTTGTTCTACTTGTCTAGCGGGCTACGGGTCGGCGATTACACTGTTTGAAATCCAAACATAACAAATGACGGGATTAATGAATTAATTCGCGGAAGTTCAGCCTTTTTGACCCATTGCCACAGAAAACCCCTCTACATAGTTGGCTTCGTTGGAAAACGACATTTCAACATCAAATGACACTTTTCCCTGTGCTACAACTGAATATTTCCTTCACTGAAATTCATTGGATTATGCTTTTTCGCCAGTATTTGAGAGAGGAAGTTCAACACCATAGTGCATAGTATTTTTTCAGGATTCGAGTCCATTTTTTTCATTTAAGCGGATACATCCAAGTTCTGAGTGTCAAATTATGGTTTAAAAAGCACTTGCTAATCACATAGACTGTTGTAAACTTCATGAACACGTGGAATAGGGTAATGAGTTGGAATTGAGGCATTATCGTGAGAGATAGAGAGTGGTACTCATCACAAAACGGGCTAATCATTGTCGGATTTAGGTATGAAATACCAAAGAATAAGGTCCTGGACTGTTTTAAGCAAGGATGTGCCCAAGTTGCAACATATACCCCGGGGGAGAGTGGTTTCGTGAGTGTGCAACGGCAAAATCTGACCGGGACTGTGGAGGGTGCAGCGGAAATGTGATGCTGAAAGCCGTAATCAACCTGGCTGTTAAACGCGCACTAACTGACGTGGCGATCAACTCTAAGGTCAGGGAACACTGAATCATTCGTTTTCAATATTGTCTTACTTGTTCAAATTGTGTGGGTATTGTCAAAATTATAACGAGTACAGAGTCGAATTGCACTGCAGTACCAAACGTTACGGGTAGAAAAATTGTCCACGGTAGGGCATCGATCCCAAACCTTCAACTTGCCGGGTAAAGATACTCATCATTGTACTGCTGGAGAAAGATTCTGTCATTTTCACTGGGACTGCTTTATTCTACCCCATACAAAAATCAGTCTAATTTGCAATGGTATTGCGTCAGAAAACGGACTTTTGAAATACATCGAATCCAAGGGTCAATTCATGGCCTTTTGGATACGAATGAACCAAGCATTTTTCAATTTAGACGGGACGAATGTTTGATCACATCACTTTGGTACAATTGGACATGCACACTCACACGCACACCTGCATGTACTCGGTCCAGCCATCAAACTGGTGCTTTGAGGCCCGACATAGATAGGCAACTTAATTTGTACTGTACATTGACCATCGTTTGATTGGATAAACGTGTTTCACAACGATAAAACAAAAACAAAAACTTCCCAGTTTAAATTGTTACACGCACGTCCATTGTCCGAACGAGAGTGTTCCTGTCCATCCGCAAAGCCTTCATTCATCATGTGCTGATTCCCATCTCGAAAGGAACCAAATGTCATCTTTGATAGAATGTAGTACTACCATTAGAACTGCATACTCTCATGCTGACCATCGGTGGTCAAATGCTTGCTTGTAAAATACAGAATAATTCAGTCAGACTCCGATTGTGCAGTTCCAAATGGGCGCATTTTAGTGGAGGGCAAAAAATCTACTTGTGACTGGTATATAAACTCTACGAACAAGCTCAGCTCACGATACGTGATGAACAGAGCTAAATTGTGCTAAACTCCCCAGTGAATTATCAAATCCAAATGAGAAACTATCCGATTAGTTGCTCGGTGTCCCAGTAGTAGTGGTGGTAGTGTGCTTGCATTCTCCCTATGAGTTCCCGGGTTCGATCCCGTCTGTTGGGTCGATGAATTCGCACAACTTACCCAGCCAAATGAAAACAACTGTTGCACATTGTTTTCTAACTTTTCAGCTCACGCCGCATTTACATTACGAATACATCATCTAATTATCAAATCTGTTTAATGACGCTTAAATACTCATTTACGTGTGTGTGTGTGTGTGTGTGTGTGTGTGTGCATTTGCATCGACAACCGTACTGAGCGCTTTGTATTGATATTTTAGGAATCGTGTTCAGGAGAAGTGTGATTTGCTGAATCGCATACCCGTGGCATACTGCAAGAAATCGTTCTTTTCACAATTTACTTCTATATCAAATATGTTTGTTTTTATATATACATCAGAGGTTTTCTATTCTCGTGATCTGGGGCCCGTACAGTGTGGCATCATTCAACAAACTGGGTGTATGCGAGCGGCATATTCACTGATTCTTTGAAGTGTATGTAGTAATCTTATGCACCACTTTCCAATATCTTTCTATGACTAATACACGAATATTCATAATCCATAGGTATTGATCAAACTTTGATTTTTCACTGACAGAGTAAAGAAAGAACGTATCAGTAACCTGGAAACGGAAATCACCACACTGGAACGTAAAAAGCAACAGATGAGTGAGACAGATCGGGGCGGTGGAGAAATTATGCAGGCTATACGGCTGACAGAGAACAAAATTGAGAAAGTCCTGTTGAAACAGACCGAGGCTGTGCATATTGGTCAGACGTATTTGGCCATTTTTAACAAACTGAAAGAGGTATGTGAGTCGAATAAACCGTGTACAGTATGCATTCAAAATACTCACACAATAGACACATCAGAAACCACCTCTGTTGTTTGAACTTTATTGGACATTCCCATTGGTGCATATTTGAGACGCTTGGTCGTATGGGGCGCATTTCGCGATTGGCAACGCAAGAGTGACCAGTTGCAACATCCCCTTAGACACCCACCCCCGACCATACTCAGAGGCTTTCGGACTGAAGCTTTCAAATCGCATACCTTCATCGGGAACAAAGAGAATGAGCACTGAAAATGAATGAAAATGAAAACAGTTAGTAACATAGTTGTTTTTGTTTAATGAAACAACAAACTCGCTATCGTCGACCGTGAAGAAGCGAGAATTGGACGAAGCAAGTGGAAGCCATCCGAATGAATGAATGCTTAGCTCGTTGCACACACCAGGCTCATTCATCATCACAGGAGCAAAGCAAAATACAGTGTCGTAAATTTACAAGAGGAAAGTGACGTAAAATCGTGAAAGAGGCTATCTAAGCCAGGCACCTCGATAGACATGGATAACGGACAAACGGTAGGTAGTTGTACGTGTGTGCACAAATTTATAACGACACCTGGTTACGGAAGTGGATGCACATTATTTAGGTGCTCTGTGTGTGTGTGTAATGGGTGAGTAACATCTAACAGAATGTTGTTGTAGAAGTTTTCGCAAGAGGTTAGCTGTTTTTCAGCGATAATGTTGAACAAGTGGAAATAGGGAATACGGCTTGTACGTGAAATAATTTTACCGGTCAGGGATGGTTTTGTGCAGTCTTTAACTCTAGGATCGGCAAATAAAACTGGGGAGCATCAGAGAATATGAGTGAGTAAATACGGCAATAAAAAACAATCGGCTAGTCTTTTTAAAAGTAGAGTTGAAATGTGAAGTCCACGTGAGATCTTGGCGCAAAGTAAGACCAAGGTACTGTGGAAAATGTAGTGGTTATCAACATAGAGTAATGACCCATTTCTTAGAGAAGATTATAGCCGTTTTTGTTGGGTTAGTGAGCAGATAACATCTCTCCAGTTAGACGCGTTGACAGATAATTTGGAATACAAAGATCATAAGCCTAAGGCAAATAAATCGGTTTGAAGCTGTGAGAAACAGAAATCATCTAGGAATTTAAAAACAAGGCTGACATTATCATACTTGAATGAGAAGATTATCTGGGTCAGTGGGTAGATCTTGAATATAGAAAGAGAAAGGAAAAGCAGACATTATTCATTCCTACAAAACCCCTAAAATGACCGTTACTGGGTCAGAATTCTTCCCAAGAAAATTCGTGGAGTATGTTCTACCAGTAAAATATCTTGGAGTAAAGACAGGGTAGTAATGGGCAATCCAGTATCTTGGAGTAGAGACAAAAGCCTGCCCCTGTCGAGACAGTACTTGCATGACTGTAGTCGAGGAAACACACCCTGGTGCTTACTGCAGAATACAAAACAGCCTATATGTCACATGTGTTGATAACCGGAGATGCAACGAAATGATTTCGGAATATTAAATCGTGTCCGCTTGAGTTGTTGTGTTCTTTGTTCAAGTTTATTTCGGGAAATAATTCCTTTAAGAAGCACATTTCCTGAGGACGACTGGACATAATCCGCCCGACCGGAATCTTTTGGTGTTTTCATGCACATCAGCTGTGCTCACGCCTGTTTAGAATTGACATGCAAAACTTCACGACGGTCACATTCGTGTCCCTTCAGCCAGGCCCCACCAGTTTCTGAGCTGTACATGTAAAAAGAAAATACAAGTGTCCAGTCGGTACTGCCGAAAGTCTGTCATGAACCAACAGTCCGATCTTCTTTTACGAATGATTCATACGCATTGGGACCTTCTTGGAATTGTCAAACAGAACGTTTGCTATTTCAGAACATCGAGTGCTTGAAACGCAGAACCAAGATGGAAGTGGTTGTAACACCAATCGCTTTATTATAAAATGTCTGTATATCTTCCGCGTGGTAATACATTACGTAATTTAAAGTGAATTCAAACAAATTTAAAAAAATTGTTATAAAACACTACTGTGAAGCATTTGGGTACAACTAATGAACTCACCTTATAGTTAAGATTTAGACCACATACCAACCCTACCACTAAAATGTTCCCGTTCCTGGTATCATTAGATATCAACCAGCCGTTGCGCAGGCTACCCACTTTCCAGGGACAATAATAGCTTGTTTTGATCGACAAATTCTCCGGGACGGACGGAAGTTTAGTTGTGGAATTCGCAGTATTTGGTAAACACAGTTGCGAGACTTGACGTTCAAGGATATGTATAGGTAAATATTCATTGCATGTGTGCATGTATATATATCTGTGTGATGCATAGACAAGGCGATCTATCTCACAGCGAACATGAATGCAAAGCGTCGATGATTTGGGTCGATACTATTGCGGTATTACACACATCGGATTAGAAATGTTGAGGTTAGTCGCGCGGCGCGGCGTGGCGCGGTGCGGTGCGGTGCGGTGCGGCGAAGTTAGGACTGGATAATAGGAGTAGTGTTTAACTTAAACTTGTAGACTTCTCTCGAAGGGTACAATTGGACAAGATCATGAATAAGAGGTATACAAAACTTAACTGTTCTCCTGGATTGACTGGGGAATTATTTGAATTATCATGATTTGTTCCATTTATGACCAACGGTGTGTCAAACTGTCTGGAACTTGTGACTGCGTTCTGTGTATCATCATCATACGTCTAGAATAGCGGTGTCTAAACCTCACATTTAAACTTCATTTGAAACATGTGTTTCAAAAAGGTTACAAGGTGCGACAGACAGAACCTGGGGACTAATACGTGACGTTATTGATTTTTAAGCGGAATCAAACAAGGAGAATTCACTTTTATTCTAACTGCCTATGTTGAACCAGGTTGTCGTAAAACAGATCAGACAGTCCACTGCTCCACCGTTGTCACAGATCAATACTCATGCTTATCCTCTTCTCGCCCGAGTGTGAAATCGCTCTCTATTGTTCTTACCTCGTACAGGTTCTATATTTTGCTACCCCATGCCATTTATCGATCGGTGTAGATGGTGATTGCGGGTGTGTGTGTGTGTGTATTATCGTTTGGAATTATGAATTCGTTCAGACTAAACCTTCTTCCGGAACACATATTGTGCAACTTTATAATCTAACTCGCATGTGTACATTGAATTTTTCTGCCAAACAGAAAGTGAGAGTGGGAGAAAAAAAATGATTTTTGGATATCAGAACACAAGTTTGACTGGGATTATTCTGGATTTTCGAATAGTTAACCGAAAGAAAAGAAGTAGTAGATGTAATATGATGTCTTTTGCACTGGCCCGATTATATCATGATTCAACATACTGGGAAATTTCTTCCCTTGTTACCTCAGAATGAATTTGTTTGTGCAAATTTAGAAACTAGGTATTTATGTTGATTATAATCTTCTGTCTATTTTTACTCAAAAGAAAGTTGTAATATCAATAGTTTTGGAATATAGGGGTTGATGATGAGTATTTAAACGATAGAAAGAAGCAAAGACAGAAGTGGTGGTTGTGAAACAATTCGAAAACCGATGCGATACTGCTATAGTAAAGGCACAAGACTTCCAATTCATGAATAAGCACAATATGAGTAGAATTGATGGTGGTCATCAATTTTACGTGCTCTCAATCAACTGTCTAAGCAGGTAGAATACCATAAATACTATAAATATGGACATTTACATCATGACATGGGTTTATGTTCAAGTTGAATCATTACCGAGGTAATCTGGAGATGATTGAAACAAAGAGGAGGGAATAATGATCACAAAGATTCAAGAAAAGGGGACTGTTAGCATAGAAACAGTTACGTAGTGGAAAACGATTAATCTTGTAAGAAAGATAGTTGAAAATGGTTAAGTAATACAAAATAGATACAACCAGCGATGCATTAGGACGGACGTAAAGACGGTAATGGAGTGGAATATTGAACAATTAGGTGGGTCCAAAAGAGTTACGGAATGTGAAAATGAGCGGGATGAAGTGTCAATGATGAGGTCAGGGAACGGTTGAGATGAGGGGAAGGAAAGGGAGGGAGGGGGGGGTAGCGGAATTATCATGGTAGTAGCAAATGCATCACAAAGACATTTTGCACGCATAAATCAGGCTTTAAACGACAAATGACAGCCACTTCAGTGAACCTGAGCATCCTTGGGCCTCGAATTTCGAGGATAACGCGGAAAGCTTTGGGTTTGTCCAGGCAGTGTTCGGAACCCAGCATTTGATGGATCTAATTCCTGTCTCGGGCAACTTGATGACACGCACATACAAAATCACCCATATCATCAGAAAGTGAACTATCAACTCTTGAAAAATTAAAACGCGCTCTCTCTCTCTCTCCGTATGCATGATTTACAGTCCATTTGCGTAACCAATTCGAAGAGTCTTGTACTGAGTTCAATCAGCCTATATGTGTGCACAGACGGAGTAGTCCCCAGACATGTAAACTGCTTCGAGTTGATCGATGATGGAACACCGGATGCCGCGAAGTATCTTCAACGGATACTTAGGGGATTCTGTGATTTTGAGCACATTGTCAAACTGAGTCGGCAAACAGTTAGGTTTCGTGGAGTTGTGGAGAATGTCAACTTTTGTTTCCCTAATCTTGATGTATTTTTATCTTCAACTGTTAGGTCATTATGGAGATATCTGAGTAATCGTTATCAAGGGGTAATTTCATGAATGAGGAGAGAAAAATTTCGTTTGTAGCTGGGAAAGACGCATTTCGCATACCGTGTTGTCATTCAGTTCAATATTCCATGAGTTAGTGGATTACGCGAATTCAGTGAAATGATATGACCAGTTTGGCCTCGATCGACAATTTCAAAATCCTGGATCAGTGATATGAAACACTATTCATGATAATATTGATAAAAAAGTGGAAATCCATCATTACGACCGAGTATGATCGTCCCTCAAGCTTGATCTTAGTACACAAACTGCAGTTCATTTTGAGTTATCTAT